AAAAGAATAGTCAGTGCTAGGGTAAACATCTTTATGTGCAAAGCATATTTGTGCTCAGATTGAGCATGTAAGTTAGGATTTGCCCTATTTACAAACTCCCTGGGGCAGTTCTACCCTGTCACATGGGATTGTTATGCGTCAAGAATCAACTGGACAGCACCTACCAACAGTAGTACCCCCTGCAGGCTCTATCATCATGACACATATTAAGCGTGAACCCCAAGGAGATCCATGGGCTGCATGGGATCCATGGGCTGGCTGTTCTCTTGAGTTGGACGTAGAAGTGGGATAACTTTGCAAGAGATCAGCTCTAAGGTCCCACGTTCTAAATGCACTAGTATTCTGATGGCACATTTCTTTTTCCTTTCTGATTAGCATCCATTTTATTTCCAAAGACTTGGCTGCCTGGTGGCCCTCATGGCGCTCCTATGTGGGGACCCGCTGAGAGATGTGGCCGAGGAGGCTGCAGAGGGCACACACCACCTGCTGCATATCACCCTGAAGTTGAAGTGTAAGGCACCGTCGAGGGTTTCGGATGGGTTCGCTAGCACAGACTATGATCTCGAAAGGCTCTAAGCCAGTGGTTCTCAACCTGTGGGTTGCGAACCCTTCGGGCAAAATTACAGTTATGAAGTAGTAACGAAAATAATTTTATGGTTGGGGGGGAGTGGTCACCACAACATAAGGAATGGTATTAAAGGGCTGCGGCAATAGGAAGGTTGAGAACCACTTGTCTAAGCACATAGTTCCTAAAGAGAAAGAATATGTGAGGAAGCAACACTGGCTCATGTGACTGCATCAGACCCGTTGCTGTCGGCTATAGTGTTGGAGTAACTAAGCACCCAACCCTGAGAACAAACTAGAGTGGTCATAGTTTGGTCAGACGTAGCAGAGGTTCTTGCCATCATTTGAGCCTTCATTTATGGATTTACCCTGTAAACGTTTGTTGATCTCAGCCAAGATCCAACAATATCCATATACATCAGTCAAAGAACTGACAAATAGCCATGTTATTACAAATCAAGTGTTAGGAAGGAAAAATACAGGGGCCAAGAATGAGAATCAAGTTTGGTTGTAAAGGTCAGCAAAGGCCTCTCTGAAAATAATCTGAAGAAAGGTGATCTCTTAGCTAGGTGAAGAGGTAAGGGGAGGATATTAGATAGAGGGTACAGGACAAGCAAGGTCCCTCAGCAGATATGAGCTTGAGGAGTTTGAGAAATAAAGAGCCAATGTGCTCAAGAATGAATCACTCACTTCTACAGTTCAAAGGGACTTCAGAAGATAATTAACCCAGCATCCCTTCCAGATTAATTCCATCCCCATGAAGTGCTATCCCTCTGGGCTTGCTCATCCCAAGGAAAAGGAAGCTCCCTGCTTCCCAGGGCAACCGTCTCATCTCTGAGCAGCTTTGAGTCTGAGAAATGTCTGCCAAGATAGACACTTATGGAAATACGATTGACTATTTATCCAGCAAGTATTTGTGAAAACGTTTTTCTAGGCATGCATCAGTGAATGAGGCAGACGAGGTTCCCGTCTCTTGAGGAACTCGTTTTCTAATTGAAGAGACAATGACCTCCAGCTAACCAAGGCCTCCTCGGCTCCCCATGATAAACCGCCATCCCCAAAGCTGAGACGGAGGACGGGCACGAGAATAGACAAGGCACTGTGAGGAAGTGTTGGCAGACACAATCATCAGCAAAACCAGACACCGAGAGTTTTGTCCTTAGAATGATCAGACACCGTATGTGGGGACCGAAGCTCTGGGAGACCTCTCAAAAGCCCCCACCAACAGGAAGAACGTCTTGGTTGTATACCCAGCTTGTAGAAAAGGTCTTCTCTCAAAAGAAAGTTCTTTTCTTTTTCTTTGAGCTCCTTTCCTATATTGGTATACAGCAGAAAGAAAACAAACCAGCCTCTCAGTGGACACACAGCCTCCTCCCTACATTTTTGCTCAAATGCAGAAAACGTGATGAGCAGAAACCTTTGGGTCTACTTGAACCTGGAGATCAGCCAGTAAGCAAGCATTAAGATTTTGTATTTTATTTTCAGATATCACTCATTGCAAGGAAAATCACCTCAGCTTGCGTACAGCGTTGAAAAGGTGCCGTGAACTCCTAGGGCACTACAGTATCCTGCAGTTCTATAGTTGTCCCTTCAAAATTGCCCAGGTAATTAGAATGGCTAACATTTCAAAAAGACCAACAGCTTAAATGTTGATGAGGACTGAGGCATTAATGGCATCAGTACATCCATTAATGGCTATGTCAAACAGAAAGCCACTTTGGAAAAGTTCTAGTAATTTCTTATAAAACCAAACCTAAAGGATTGCCCAGAGAATTTGCTTTCTAAACACTTTATAGTTTGGAGAATATGCACCATGATAGTGGCTCCTTTATGAACCCTTTTCGCAGTTTAGGTCAATCAGTCAGTGAGGCCAACATCACTATTTGGATTTCTCTTGATTTGTTTGGGTTTTTCTAGACTAACTCTGCTCCCACTGTTAACTCTAACCCTGACCCCTGGCAGTCTCTTGCAAATGCGAGCCCTGGTCACAAAAAGCAGCTTCAGCAGGGTGTAGATAGTCCTATAAGATGTATACTGTAAGACTAAGATGTAATGATATTAAGATATTTATTCATTGTCCAATAAATACTGATTAAGCATCTCCTAAGTGTTAAGTTTTCTCATCTGTTTAATGGGACTCTGTAAATCTTTGGATAACTCACTTGTGAGCATTAACTCAGATGTTGTATGTAACGTGTTGCTTAGTATCGATCCTATAGAAAATACTCAGAAAATTGTCATCAAATGAAAGACCTTGTACAGAGCCAGGTGCAATGAAAATCAGGTTACCACATTCTTATAATACAAGGTTAACTATGGACAAGGTAGTTTCCTATTCCTGGGAACCTGTCAGAACCCTAAGATTAGCCTTTTCCTTCAATCTCATCCCTATAAAAGTGTGACTCGTTTTCAAAGATCTCAGAAAGATCTTTATAGAACTCTGAGTTGTAAGAGGACAAGTACAGACCTGCTCTGTGGACATGCGGGTGGTCCCTAGTCTCACTTTGGTAAACACACAGCCTTGTACACCTTCGTGCATGTCTCTGTTAAATGAAGATCAATTCCTTACTCATGGTTCTTTCCACCAGACCTTATTTCTTGAATGTTTATTATCCCTCAATAATTTCAGGTCTTCGAAGTTTTTCTGAATTCCAGTGAACTCTACCAGTTTGTAATGACCATGCTGAATGGCCTGGATAACAAGAAACACCCCTGCACTCAGGCATCAGCTGGAGAATTGCTGATAACTCTGGTGAAAAATGCGGAGTCCCGATTTGAAACGGTAAAAAAACTCAGTGGCCTTTTCCAGGGTTTGAATTACCAGCAAGATCTCTCCAGGCAGGTAGCTGAAGAGGTCTCATCTGGTCCACCTGTTAGCTGAGAATTATGGGAGGGTCCCCGGTCAGAGCCTTAGTCCATCTGGTGACCTACATTTGTCCACTCAACAAGCACACATCGAACCCTGTAGGAAACCACAAATGTGTAAGCACCTGAGCAAGAAGGCTTTCAGAATCTAAGGTGTGGCCCACACTTTTCAGAAGAGAATCGTTTTCTGAGATAGTTAACACATGTGAAAATGGTAACTTCTATTTAGATTTCTATTCAGATGGATTTAAAAAAAATAAGAGATGTGATATTAAAAACAAAAGTGGTATGTGACTGCATATGTTCCCATATTTGTTTGTCCTACCACCCTCTTTTCATCAAAATGAAAAACAAAATCACTCAGCACACCACCCCCACCACCACCCCCGGCAATGACAGACCTTTGTATTACAGTCCGTAATGCAGGATAAAATGTAGCTGTTTTTTCAGCCCCCTTGGATCCTTCCAGTGGCCACTAGGGGGTGCTATCACCCACTCTGGGAAGCACTGCTCTTGAGGGAGCCGGTTTGGTAAACTTAAAATCATGAGAATGTACCTAAGAGTGATACAACAGGAAATAGCCATATACTATCATCGTGTAGAAATATGGAGAGATTTGCTAAAGAGAGCAGCCCTGCCTGGGGAAGATGGAGGAAACCGCCTGGAAATACCACTGGCTCCCTCGGCGTTTCAGAGAACGTCCAAGCAACATTGGAGTTTTTCCACTGGGGACGGATGGCCCTGTGGGGTAGGGAACTTTAGTACTCAGGCATGGTTGGTGAAGTCTCTTGCCCAGTTTCCCTTTACTGATGTTATAAAACAACTCTGGGAAACCTCATGTTGTGTCTGTCTCCTTGGGCACAAAGAATGTTTCGTGAAGTAGATAATGAGAAGAGGAATAGCTAGAGCATCGCAGACATGCATTTAAACTTTTAATAAACACGGCTATTGGCGTCTTTTAGAGGAGGAGACTTCCGCCCTGGTAGGGAGAAGTATGTTGTCACCGGCATGGTTTAGAACAGATGGCACATGGTGATTATACATGGCTGATATTCTCCCCCGCCACACACACACACACATCATACAAGTTAATCATTCGATCAAAGGAAGAAAGCATGCCGTCATCACCACAGTCCGTTTCAGGACACGTTCTTCTCATGCTCATTACTGTTAGCTGCTCGTTTCCCGCCCTGCCTCCCCTGCCACTCCCCTAGGTCATTATCAATCTCGTGACTGTCTCTGTGGATTTAACTGTCCCAGATATTTGACACAGAAAAATCATACAAAACACAAACAGGAGGTTAACAACCACAAAAGACCCAGACAAAACAGAAAATGACTAAACCAAACAAAAACCTCAATCAAAAGAAAAGCAGAAAATCTGAAAAACAGACATTAAAATGGGTCAAAAGGGAGATCAGGAGATCAGGTACATTTTAACTGGACTACATCTGCCACCTTTGACCCTAATCACAAGGCTATTCACACCCCTCGGGTTTTTAAAGCCACTGAATCGCCTTGTTGTCTGCACCAAGTACCTCCATTACTCCCCCCCCCCCCCCACCCCCACACACACCTGGTGTTCCACTGGATGGTGCTGTATTATCCAGTCACTGTCGCCCCCTGCCAGCACTCCGTTCTGAACTTTTTTTTTAAATCATTTTATTAGGGACTCATACAACTCATCACACTGTATACATACATCAGTCATGTAAAGCACATTTGTGCATTCATTGCCTTCATCATTCTCAAAACATTTTCCCTCCACTTAAGCCCCCGGCATTGGGTCCTCATTTTTCCCCTCCCTCCCCACTCCCCACTTCCTCATGAGCCCTTAATAATTTATAAATTATTATTTTGTCATATCTTGCCCTGTCCGATGTCTCCCTTCACCCACTTTTCTGTTGTCCATTCCCCAGGGAGGAGATCACATATAGCTCCTTGTAATCGGTTCCCTCTTTCCAACCCACTCCCAGTATCGCCACGCACACCACTGGTCCTGAAGGGATCATCCGCCCTGGATTCCCTGTGTTTCCAATTCCTATCTGTATCAGTGTACATCCTCTGGTCTAGCCAGACTTACAAGGTAGAATTCGGATCATGATAGTGGGGGCAGGGATGAAGCATTTAGCAACCAGAGGAAAGTTCTGAACTTTTTCGTAAACTTCGTAACAAGTGTCAAAGTGTGAAGATTTTCCCAAATTTATAGATGAAAACTGGTATATTACTGTTTTCATTTGCATTTCCCTGATTACTCATGAGTTTGTTTTTGTGTTTATAGGCTAGACACGTAAATCATTACTAGTTATCTCTTCAAGGTTAGTCAGAGCATTGCAGCAGAAGCATTTCGCTCTTAAGAGTCTATTCTTGTCTAAGGAGATCATCAGAAATGTGGGGAAGTGATCCATGCAAATACAAAAGGCCTCCCAAAATATCATAGAAAGATTCCAATATTTCTTCATTCCATTTTTCTATGGACTTTTCAAAGCCTCCTGGTTCAAACATAGCAATATTTCTTATGACAGGAAAAGTTTGGACTAATGGAGAGCTCCAAACCATGATCCAGTTAAGTAAAATAGAGTATATTATGTAATGCTAATGTAGCCATTTAAAATGTTTATGAGATGTTTACATTAACATTAAAGTAGCTTTTCCCACAGGACAATTTTTTTTTATGACCAAGAACAAAAATTTTCCAAAGCTACCAGGATCATCAATAAGAGCTGGCACAAACGTAAGGGCCATGTAGCAGGGCATCCATAGACCACCAAGTGTAATGAAGAAGGTACGCCGCCGAGCAGAAGACAAGATAGGTGACTGGGACCTGACAAAATTACATCGCTTATGCACATCCACAGACCTCATCAAAAGGAAAAAATAGTCATCATATTATAAGTAATGATCTAATTCTTTGTCCAGTGTATATTCAAGAACCTTGAACTTTTCCTGCCCTTTACCCTAGAAATCCCATGCTTTATAATTTATTAACAGAATTTCAGGAAATAATTTAAAAGAACAAATGGTTTTGTACACAAAGCCATATGTTTTGGAACTGTGCTTGATATAATTTGGCAAAAGACATTATAATCTGGTGTACATTTTTATTTTTTATAGATAAGAAAATTTGGGACCCAGAGAAGTTAAAGGACTTCTTCAGAGTCCCCAAAGTAATTGGAGACAGCCCCAGGGCTCACATAAAGAGAACTCATGTATTCTAATTCTCTGCCTACTGCTTCATTAAACCAGTCTCCTTCACACTATGGCAGTGAATTATGAAGACAGACAAAGCCACTAACAAGGCTTATAAAGATTATGAACGTTATAAAGATAAAGGCTAAGTGAGCACATGGAAAGTGAACAAACCTATTATCAGCCGTCTCATCTGACATTTTACATTTACAGTAGTGAAAAAATCCATTTTGCACATGAACGATGTTCACCTGGCAGCACGCGCTGTCATTCAAGCAGCATTCTCTGTATCTAGGTTCTAATGTGTGTTCCAATTCCTACACAGAACTCACAGCATTTGCGATGGAAGGGTTTCGTAAGGAAATTAACACCTTTGGGCTAACTTGAAGGGTTTATTAAGTTGTAATGCAAGTGAGAAATGCTCAGGGTAAGGTTGTTCATCGGGGCATGTTACTGAGTTCTTTCAGGGCTGCTAATAAATGTCCAAAGGGTGCACCATCCACTGTCAGCCTCAGCTCCACCTCTTGTGGGCCGGCCAGCAGTTACTCACAGGTGAATCCTGTCGCCTTCTTCCCCGGACCCAAGTAGAAAAAGGTGGTTTGATGGGAGTCACAGGGACTTTGGCTAGAGAGCAACCTTAATAGTTCACGGGCCCTGCAGCCAGGCACAAATGCCCAGATGCCAGGCAAGAATAATGCTGGTTGCGATGGTTAACATTATGTGTCCACTTGCCTGGGTCAGGATTCACAAATGCTTGGCAGGTATATGATGAAATTGGATAGTATGTGATAATATAGTTTGTATCCTCCAGTTTGTATCTGATATGACCACCCTCTATTTTTGCGTGATGCTGATCTTCACTTAACAGCCAGGTCTTTGGAACCTAACCACGCTGACAAGTGAGGAGTTGATGTGTCCAATAGTGTTAAGTGACAAGAAGAAAACAGCATATTGTGTCCCCACTGATTATGCCTAAAAGCATGCAATCATGGCTTTAGAAAAAGAAAATGAAAATCCTAAAAGGTTACAAGGAAAGGAGTATGGTATGTTCAAGTGAGTGATTACTGGTACATGCTCACTACTGAAAAGCATTTGATAAGTAAAACTACACATTCACGGCCTTTTAACTGTTCTCTTTCCATATGAAAGAGCAAGAAAGCACATTTAAAAGAGAAAGTCTTATGATGGATAGTTGGGCACACACCATGGAGCCCAGACTGTGCTATAATCTGGAGTGCCACCCAATCCACAGACATCAGGCGGCCCTCCTGCTTGCTTTCCGCCCTGTGTCCTCTCATGTCTCGGAAGACCCTCAGTAGTTCCGCCCGGAGTTAAAGCCATGGACCTGTGAATGGGAGCATGAGCCCTGTGGGATATACCTGAGCATGGTAGACACCTCAGGGGGGAGGGTGGCTCAGGGCTTCTCTGCCACGCTTAAGAGTCAGCGTGGACCCCAAGTTCATACAACACTTTCATTAGTTTGTCTTATTGTAAAGTCAATATGTAATCATTGAAGAAAAAAACCTTAAATGTACATAAGCAAGAAAATTAATACCTCATCACTTATAGAAACAATATTTACATCTTTGTATATATACCCAACTCTTTGTATACATATAGATACATGCAAAGTAGTTTTGATAAACTTATTTTTTAAAGTTGTTTTAAAAGTCGCTCTCTAGGACCTTTCAGTAAGCAGGAGTGTCCCACAGAAGTAAGCGCTTAGTAAACGTTCTTTCCTTTTCAGGTGCCAGAAATCATGGGAGTTATCTGTGCCCGGCTATCCATAATTAGCCAGCTGAGCATCCGCCAGCAAGTCATAAGTACTGTGAGCTTGTTTATCTCCAGGCCCAAGTATACAGATATAGTGCTCAGCCACCTTCTGTGTTATCCAGTACCATATGACAGGTAAACAGATCCCTCCTACTGCCTCTGGACTCAACTGGAATGTGTGACACCGTTGCGAGCATTGTGGCACATGGTCTAATGCATTTTATGGGTAGACACATCTAGATGAATGTGTGCGATACAAACCAGGATATGATGCAAAAATAAGAGGATCACTCTCACACGTTCAGAATGAAGAATGTTCGAGAAGGTAGTTGAACAAGGAATCCAGGGCAGATGATGCCTACAGGACCAGTGGTGTGAGTGGTGATACTGGGAGGGTAGAGGGAGAGCGGTTAGGAAAGAGGGAACCGATTACAGGGAACTATATGTGACCTCCTCCCTGGGGGATGGACAACAGAAAAGTGGGTGAAGGGAGACGTCAGACAGGGCAAGATATGACAAAATAATAATTTATAAATTATCAAGGGCTCACAAGGGAGAGGGGAGCAGGGAGGGAGGGGAAAAATGAGGACCTAATGCCGGGGGCTTGGGTGGAGAGGAAATGTTTTGAGAATGATGAGGCAATGAATGTACAAATGTGCTTTACACAATTGATGTATGTATGGATTGTGATAAGAGTTGTATGAGCCTCTAATAAAACGATTTAAAAAAAGGAACTAGAAAAAAAAAAGAAGGTAGTTGAGCTGGATTCTTCAAAAATGTTAACTTCATGAGAGGAAAAAATGATGATGGGGGTGGGGGGTGTTGTTCAAGATTAAAAGACACTTAAGAGAGATAACTAAATTTGTGAACTTAAATGTATCCTGGATATTTTTTTTTGAAGCTGCAAAAAATTTTTGTAGAATTTTAAATACAAACAGTATATTAGACTATTAGGCTAATATTAACTTTCTTAGATGTGAAATAGCATAACGGTTATGCAGAAGATCTCTAATCTTAGGAGCGAGGTACTGAAGTTATTTAGGGATGAAGTGTTGTTGTTGCAGGGTGGACACAAAGAGGGCCCCTATTGCCTGGTCACTGTTGTCAGATTACAGAAACCAGGTGGACTAAAAAGATGCTAAATGTTATTTTCACATGCATGGAAAAGCGAATGGGGGACCCTTCCTATAAATGCCCATCTCCCTGTCTCTTTGTTCTCATAGGATATATACTGGTATACAGGTTGAATAAACAACTTTTTTTCCTTTCTCTCTTTCAGACAGACATAAATCTCAGAATGACAGACACAGACTAGGAAAAAAAGTTTTTGTTTTAACACAAATTATATGTTACACAACTTCCTTTACTAGCAACCCCAGATCTTGAGGAGACAGGTCAGGGATGCAGGTTCTGGCTCCTAATGAGGTAGGAAAGAAAGATTCATCACACTGCATAAGAATTGAGTCTGGGGGTTCCCCTTGAGAATCCGTGCTTAGACACAATCACAGGATGCTCTGGGAGCCAGGTTAGAGGGTTCAGCTTAGGATCACAGCCCTGCAAGATTTCTGGTTATGTCTTGCAAATAGATGGTCCTCTTCACTAAGATTCTTCTAAACTATGCTCTATTTCCCTCATAAAATAATAGTAGACTCTTCAAGTCCCCTTATCATTTTGATGTCTGTACTTTATTTGAAAATAAGTTAATCATAATATATATGAGCATTAATATATACATAACAAGAATGGGATTAGAGTCAGGAAAAACAAAACACTCTCCTTAAAGAAAAAATTTTTTTTTAATTTAGATTAGTGGTTTTCAATTAAAAATTTTTTAAATTAGATTAGTGGTTGATGACACCCTGTGAGTTCCAATAAGATGCCTATGGGGAAGGCAGTGCACTTTAATAGAGGGCTCCAGGACCCCAATTTACTTTAACCAAAGCAGCATCTTTTAAAATTGGTTATATATACAAACGACGATTCTGGATAACTATATCACTGGACAAAATAAAATGCGATTTCGTTTTTATTATGCTCAGCTCTCTGTTTGAAAGCTTCTCTGTTAAAGGCCTGCTCGCCTTAGATAATGAGGTGGGCAGGCCTGATGGTCCATAAGCTGGACTTAGTCTGCCACTCAATCAAATAATGGAGAGTTTGTGTCCATCCAGAGAATATTATTGAGTTATTATTTTTGTAATATTCTTTTGTCTATATCTCTAATACTTTAAAATCTTTGATTTTATCCATACTAAATTCTTAGCTAAAATATGTCTGATGAAATACAAATTATTATATATATTTTGTTCTTTTAAGTATAATTTAAGCATTATGCTGTGTGTACTCTACTCCTCTGAGGACTTTGAGAACGGCTTCAGATCTCAGGAGAACTGTGGGATTGGTAGAACTAGACATGACCACTATTCAGGGAGCTTTCATCTGATTACCTTTTGCTCCTTGATTCAATGTTTGTTAGTTGCTTTCCAGATAAGATTAAGAGGATTGTCCCAATGAATCTATTTGAAGCATCTACTGTGCACCAAGGGCTCTCTCTGGGATAGGAGTGGAGGGGGGACACGTACTTTGATAGACAGAGAACAAGACGTGTACTTTGCCCTCAGTCAACATCAAAAGTTACATTTCCTTCCAGGGGCTTTGGCAAACGGTCCTACTTTGTCTTGGAATCATTTGGAATTCCTCTGTGTCAGATAAAGAATCAGAGAAGAATTTCTGAGAAAAAATAATACTCCAAAACTGGATTTTGAGGTGTGAATTATTAGCCAAGTAGAAGGTAGAAGAGGGAAGTGGAAAAGCAGAAGCAATAGCAGAGAGAAGCAAAGAATAGTGGCAATGGTGGCAAAGCATGGTGAAATAATGACTGTCCAAAAAAATTTTTTTTAAATGACTGTCAATAGATTGTGCACTTCACCATGACTAAGGTAGCAAACTCTTTATTCCATGTCTTCTACCACAAAACAATTAGAAATAAGTAAAGGCCACGAGATATGAAACTGTTTGTTGATTCAATACAAAATGTTGAGAGCCAGATACATGGTTAGAGAGAAAGAGGCCGGTAGTAAAGAGCGATCAGACTCGGGAGATCTTTTGCCGTGAGGGCAGTGTTCTAAGATTGGATGGTGGTGGTGGTTGCACCACTTAAAAGTTCACTCAAAGTGAATCACACACTTACATTAGATTAAGTATATGGTAGCAAACTATACCTCAACGGCACTTTAAAAGTGATCAGAAGTCAGATAGCAGAGATATAGGACCACCTTAATGAAAACGCAGTGGATTTTCTGTCCTGGGAGAAAGGAAGTCACTGAAGAACTTTACAGAAGTAATGCATTCCCTTGCAGATACCTTAGGGCTCCTTACCGTCTTACGTTGACAGATCAGAATTGCCAGGGTAGACAGTGAGATGTAGGATAGTCTCTAAGCCTCTCAATTTTCAGGGTGACTCTGATACAGATCGTTGCGAGACCACCCTTTAAAAAATAGCAAGTTTAACACACACACACACACACAATTTTGGTAAGTAGAGTCTGAAAATAGGAGAATGGATTATAAGTATAGGTAACTCCCACCCTCACCCCTTTACTGTCCCCATAATATTCCTATACAATTCTTAGGTGCTTCTCAGGCCCTGCGTGTGAGTCAATGAAGTAGAAGTTACTGCCTTTTTAAAAACTTCTTTTTCTTTAAGAAGAGAGCTCTTCTAAAGAGGAGCTTTATTTCAGGACCTAACCTTCGCCAAAATTGAGGACTATAAGCTAAATGGGGTACCTATTTCTTTGAATGCCTTCTGTGAACCCGGTACTATGTTAAAACCCAAGCGATTCATATTAGCAAAGCCAGGCTCACTCCCTGTCTTCAGTGGGAGGGAACCCATAGACACACTTGCAGAGAAATGGCAGTAGCACATGGAAGATTGAGGCAACTCTACAAAGAAGACATTTTCAAAGTCTTAGGGAACTCTCCTTAAAGACATGGGAAACGCCAAAAGCTCCCAGAAGAGGTGACACTGGAGCTGGATCTGAAGGATTTGGGTAGGCA